GCCCCTCTCTCTCGCTCACCAGTCGATGGAGGAGGAGGTGACCAAGGCGTTGCGGGGGGGCAGTCAAGACGAAGTCCTGAGCGAGGGCTTCAGGCTGACCATCACCCGAAAAGACCTGCAGACCCTGAGCCACCTCAACTGGCTCAACGACGAGGTACTGCCACCGGTCCAAACAGCTCGTTTGTGCATGCGAGAGGAGACAAGGGTGCTCACCTTGGTCCTGCAGGTCAACTACCCAGACCTTGTCTGCCTAATTGAAGTAGTTAACTGCACCCAGTTAACCACTGTACACTTGGGCATGGTGTGTGACGAGGTGAAGAGATCTCACAATCCTCATGCTCTGTTATGGAGTGTTGTTTAAACCTGCAGACACAACAGGGCTCGGCAACAAACAGATCGCATTTAGATGTTGGTGGAAGATGTTTTCCTCGTGTAATGTGACATAGTTGGAACTGAGGAACTGTCCAGCTGATGTAGTCAGGTTCTCATGCAGTAACAATGGTGCCTCTGTGATGCCTCTTGGCCCATTTGGCCCTGATTATGATTGAAAGGCAAGACCAGCTCGTCACAATAGACACAGGGTGAACATATAAATCAGTTACTTCCTGTCCTACATCTACACGATACATGCCAGAAAGAAGTTTCTATCTGTTACTCATTATTTCTTCCACACGACTAAATCTGAAAAATGTTTTAATGAAAAGTCTTTACTTTTTTTGGCGATTAGACATTTAGTCCTGTGATGAGATTTTGTTCTGGATTGTCCGATTGAGTTAAATATAGAAGGGCAGAGGCGAGGGTGCCTGGCGTTGACTTGTGACTGTGTGCCCCCAGGTGATCAATTTCTACATGAACATGCTGGTGGAGAGGAGCAAGCGCCCGGGCCTGCCCTCCGTCCACACCTTCAACACCTTCTTCTACCCCAAGCTGCGCAACGCGGGCTTCCCCGCCGTCCGGCGCTGGACCAAGAAGGTGGACATCTTCTCCGTGGACATCCTGCTCGTGCCCATTCACCTGGGCGTCCACTGGTGCCTGGCGGTGAGTGAGACCCCGACCCGTTCGACCGTGACCGACGTGCTTCGTCCCCGGAAGTGAAGTGTAAACGTGGAGTTCTCTGAATCCCGTGAATGTAGCAGGGGGAGGAGTTTGGTCTCTGTTGATTTGGTCCGGTTGTTTGATTCGTCGATTTTAAACTGCAGGTGGTTGATTTCCGGAAGAAGAGCATCGTGTACTTTGACTCCATGGGAGGAAGCAACGACGAAGCCTGCAGACTATTGCTGTGAGTGCTGGCCCTCATTGGAGTTTGCAGAAATGCAGCAGGATTGTCCGAGGGGGATTGTTATCTGTTCTGGAGGTCATTGCTCATTTTAATGCCGTTGGTCGTTTGAACAGCTTGGAACAACGTCAGTTGTTTTAACATGATTTCAGCCTGGGTGGCCTTTTGTGCTTTTCATTCCATTTATGACTTTAAAAAGAGAGGGTGGTAAGGGTGATTTATTATGATCAAAACTGCAAGTGCAGACTCTTGCGTAGCCTGTGTCCTGTTGTCTAGACCAGTGGTTCCCAGTCCTGCTCTTGGATGAAAGCCATGTCTGCTGGTTTCATTCCAGCTGAGCTCTGAATCTTGAGTGCTAATCAATGACTTAATCAACTGGCTTACGTATTTAAATTTTAGTTAAGTAATTCAGCTTGTCTAATAACTTAATAGCTTGTTAATTGATCAATTGATGTTGAACGGGTGGGGGTCACACAGTATTGGACACGCCCACCCGCAAGGGGAGTGGTGGTGTATTGGACACGCCCACCCGCAAGGGGAGTGGTGGTGTATTTGACACGCCCACCAGCAAGGGGAGTGGCGGCGCATCAGGTTTACACCCAGGATATGACTGCCTTCTGCAGAGGTCCAGCTGGTTAACATTTCAGGCAGAATGAAACGCAGAAATCATTACAGGGTTGATGCCAATAAGAACTTCCATTTGACCTCTTGAGAGCATTGAAAGCAAATTTACAAAAATGTCCCAGATGAAAGCTGTTTAAAATAACTTAGTTTGAGGAAAAAAGCCTCCTCCAGGACCCAAACTGGGACCCCCTGATCTAGACCAGGAGTTCCCTACTCAGGTACTGGAGACCAGTACACCTGCTGGCTTTCATTTCAGCCCAGCTTAATGATCCAGTTGAAGCCTCAGTTTAGCTAACAGTAAGCTGGCTTTGAATATTAACAAGTTTTTTTTCTCCTCAAGAGTTTGGGATTTCATTTTATTCCTGAAAAGCAGTAGGTTAAAGGTAACCCCCAACATGGTTAAGAGCTGAAAACCATTCAAACAGTTCATCCTGTTTTTAAGTCAATTAAGAGGATTAGTTGTGTACCTAAGAGAGCGTAGCTGGAAGCAAATCCAGCAGGTGTGTGTAAGCCCCCAGCATCAGGACAGGGAGTCCCCTGGTCCAGATCTTGGTTACGGAGGCTGACGGTTCTGTATCTGGTCCTCACAGGCAGTACCTACAGCAGGAGAGCCGTGACAAGAGGAACAAAGAGCTGAACACATCGGGCTGGGTCGTGCAGAGCAAGAAGCGGAATGTGAGTAATAGCATCTTCTCTCCCGTGAGTCTGTTCAAAGTGTAGTGTTAGGGGTTCGTGGTCAGTGCTGGGATGCGTTCTTAGTGACCCTCATGGGGCCATGGTAAATCACACTGACCACAGCCCTCCCAAAGAAATGGCCAACTGCTTTCTTATTTGTTGAAGCCTGAATGATGTGATTACAGTAGAGTCGTGTTTTACATGGTAGTTAGGTTCCTGACATAGTCTGTATACACAGAATTGGATATGATCAAAATACCCTCCTTAGACTTGCTATTCCCCTCACTTAAGCAAGTAAAATCACTTGTAGGTATATTAGTATCTGTACGTATGTAGTTTAAAGTATTATGAAAAGTGTAGTACAGCAAATAAACTACTGTATGGTATACGAAATAGATCAAGTAAAATCAGGGAACCCTCACCATAATCTTCTTGTGACGATAAATATGAAAGGAGTGTGCAGCTGATGACAGTCCCACCCCTTAATGTGTTCAAAATCTATATTTTAACTCCAAGTCAGGCACTTTTCTTTATTTGCCTTTCCCCTTCGTATTTGTTTTGGGTTTATGAGCCCTACTGAGGGTGCATGTCTCACCAGATTTGAATTTGGGGAATTTCCCACATTTTTTATTTTTTCATTATTTTTTTTCGGCGCTGATCTCAAACTCTCGAATTTGCATTAAATATTTTGCATAAAAAGCAAGTGTCTTTAAAAAAAAAAAATCAGAGCCCTTTGAAACTCTGTTTATGAGCATGATTGATTAGTGCTGTATTTATCCTTCGAAAGGCAGTCAGGGTACAGTAATACTGTAATGTAGGAGTTACAGTGTTTGTCCTGTGGTACTACAGTAACGCGTCTCCCCCTCCTACAGGAGATCCCTCAGCAGATGAACGGGAGTGACTGTGGAATGTTTACCTGTAAATATGCTGATTACATCACCAAAGATAAGCCAATCACATTCACGCAGGTGAGCATGCCCAGTGAGATTGAACGTTAGGGTTTCATGGTGAGCTGTGTTGTTACTTGCCATGGAGTGCTGTATGTGTGAAATCAGGGTGGAGTGACTTGCCATGAGCTGATCTGAAGTTTTCTAAATCAGTTTGAGTTGTTTAACCAAGAAGAAAGCATGCTTAATTTTATTGATATGGGTTGGAGCGGTGGCTCTGTGGCTAAGGATCTGCGCCTGTGGCTGAAAGGTTGCCGGTTCAAATCCCGCAGCCGGCAGAGGAATCCTATTCTGTTGGGGCCCTGAGCAAGGCCCTTAAGCCCAACTGCTCCAGGGGCGCTGTACAATGGCTGACCCTGCGCTCTGACCCCAAGCTTCTCTCCCTTTCTGTGTATCTGTGTCTCATGGAGAGCAAGCTGGGGTATGTGAAAAAGACAAATTCCTAATGCATAATGTTTTCTTTCCCAATCCCACAGAAACACATGCCATATTTCCGGAGGCGAATGGTGTGGGAGATCTTGAATCGGAAGCTTTTGTGAATTTCGGGAGAAAGCACCAAGGCATTCCTAAATCTGACATGGGGTGTAATGGGACGGAAGACTTGGGAAGGACTTTGACTTAATTTCCCCAAAACTCTACCCAGCTCCCTCTTTTCCTCCTCCCTCAGTTCCTCCACAACCTTAAGACAACTGACACCTTCCCACAAAAGCCCAGACTGGAGCACCCGATATGTTTTTCAGATAATGGCCGACCTCCTTCACCACTCAATTCTGCTCCCAAGGCATTTGTCCTGGGACGATCTGCCCCTGCGCATCAGTGTGGCTTCTCGTTTAGCGCTCCTGGGCGGCTGCTGTATTTCAGCGTGGATTATTGGGTCGGGCGGTGCTGAAAAGACTTGAAAGGGAATTCTGGGGCCCAGTGGGAGGCACTACAGAAGGTCTTCTCAGATGTTCCTCTCTCCGCGTTTGTTATGGGGGAAGAACAAGCCCCCCCCCCTGTTGTTCTGTGGAGGAGAGGAAAAGATCACAAGTACTCAAACGATCTCTAGTGCTCCTTAAGGGTAAGCGCGACAAGCTGATCTTCCCCATTCTTCGCCCACATGGGGCACGGTAAACCACCAGTCGCTGAGGTTCCATTTGATTTGGTGGCTGGTTTAGCCTGGTTGGTGGGGAAGAGGAAGTCGGCTCCGATGTTGAGAGCTCTTCATAGGCAACATGAGAATGGGAGTTGCTATTACTCTTCTCCTGCCTGGGAATGTCGCCGGATTTCTTCGTCCAGGTCTGTTTTCTCCCACCGCGTCAGGTGGAGTCTCGTGGTTTCGTTTTTTCATCTCGGACAGGGGATCCTTTGCAAGCAGTCGTGGGGGGGGGGCACGTGCAAGGAGTTTCTATCGCTGAGCTTCGGAGGAGTGGGGAGGGGGGAGCGTGGGTTTGTGTGGCCAGAGTGTGACGAGCACACAGCTGACGGGATGGATGGAAAGACCGCTTGTGAACACGGGCCCAACGGCAGTGATGGAGACCGCAGGAGAGAAGAGCTCTGCTCTTGTGACTGTGTCCAGAAGATCGGAAGGCAGAGACCCGAGGCAGTAATTAAGAATTGACACTAGAGGAATAAAAGCGAACTGCTTACTTGTCATCTGTCTGAAGTGGCCACTCCTCCCTTCAGGTCACACCTGGTGGAGTCCACCTGAGCCAGGTGTGGTCTTTAAACTCACATTTAAGTCTGGACTGAGCTGATGGCAACAGGGGATGGAGAACACTTGCTCCTGAATGAACTGGCATAGCTTAAGGACTCCACACAACAGCTGAAATAATTTCAGAAAGTGTCTTGTTTTTGTTAAAATTATTTATTGAAGTGATATGCTTGTCACCAAGCAACAACAAATGTAAAATTCACGATAAGATACTGAAAGACCCAATTGCACATTTGCATTAAGGGGGCACCACATGCAAGCAAACAGCAATAATGAACCCGTAAGGAGAACTAGAGAACATATCGGCTAATGCTTTTTGGAACAGCTGCTCCTGCTTTCTTGCCTGTGGTGATTAAGTGGTGCTATAAGTCATGCTTGCTTAGTGTTGATTACTGATTTAGTGGGGACTTCAAACACCATCTCTCGTATGGAGGTGGGTTGCAGAAAATGTGCGGGATTGTGTGAAGACAGCCTGCTCAGTGGCGAAAGACTTGGGAAGCCTTTTAGTCAGTAAGTAGTTCCGTTAAATGCTCTGTATCTCAGGTGGGCTGTGCTGTGAGCAGAGTATTATACAGCACTTGTTCACGTTCTGCTCGGCTCTCTGTTAGCCTGGAGCACTTTGCCACGCTGGCAGGTCTTCTGTGCTGCCTTCCATTCTGTTTCCACAAAACGCAAAAACCCAGGAATTCTTTTATCCAAAGCTTATCCTTTGATTTTGTTTTCCTATGATTTGCTTTAACCCTGGACTTGCCTACCTAAACCCCTATTTGGTAGTACCAGAAGAGTGCGATTTGGGGCCTGTCGAACAATTGTTTCAAATTCTGTTCTACACTTTGCTTTCTGCATTTTCTGATTTCTGAATTCACTCCTTGTCACTCCTATTGGAAATGTGTGACCTGGTACCTATACTGGGTTCTACCTATGCTTCATAAGCCCCGTGCTCCTTTTTTCTCAACACTGAAAGTGTGAGCTACCTCACACTGCAGCTCAGTATTAAGTTATGAGTCAGGGGAGCCCCAGTCCTCTAAGTCGCCTAGTTTCAAAGACTGTCAAATAATTGATGAATCAAGCAAGTCAGCTGTTCAATTAAGTAAAATCTAAAGTGGGCTGAAGAGTAGTTAGATGATCTCGTAACAAATTTTAAGAAATGATCAGTTTAAGTGATCGCAATGGAATGTTTCTAAGTCCTTAGAAACTGGTGCTAGAAAAGTGAAATTGGTGATTTAAGGGTTACCTACAAACCCTGTTGCACTGGGCTTCTCTGGTACCAGGATATGAGTCTTAAGAGACCTATAGGACTAGGACTGGCATTGAAACACCTGCACCTTCATTATGGCGATTAATTCACTTCCTGGACACGTTCACAGGGACGCACCTGTAGTGACAGGCCCATAAAGACATGCCCACAAGGGGACATCTTCAATGACAGGCCCATAAAGACATGCCCACAAGGGCACACCTACAATGACAGGCCCATAATGGACACATCTGCAATGACACATCCATAAAGACATGCCCACAAAACAAAAATGATCTTCAGCCTGAGTTGCTTTCAGTTAGAGATCAATTTCGGATATTTCTCCTTGTCTATTGCCATTGGCATAGAGTTGAAATTTGTTCAAGACTGATTGTTACTATTAAAAATGTTTTTAAGGAAAAACGTTTTTAGAGCATTTTGCAAGAATTTACAAATTTTGTATATATTCATATGTATGTACTTGTTTTTTCTTTATTTAATAAGACATTTTGTACCTTTTATTATTGGTTTTGTATCCAGGGAAAATCCTTCTTTGTAGAATTAAAAACCTTAAAAGGCAACTTGATTAGTATTGTTTAATTCTGCCTTGTTATCTCGATAGAATCTCTTCCCAGGATGAGTGTGTGGATATTTTAAGGAAAGCTTTGCAAAGCTCCCCTCACCCTACAAGTACGAAATGCTTTTGGATTCGTAAAAGAAGAACGTAGGCTCCCCGGTAGATCGGCGCTTAACAGGTCACTTGAGCTGGAGGGGGTGTCACCTGTTGCGAGTTCCCCGCGCTATCGATCGATTACATCTGGGTGCAAAAATCATTACCCCCACCCTGGACTCGCGAGATGTTCCATTTCACGATATGGGGGAAACCCATTGGGTAAAATATTATTGTAACGATTACTATATGGACACATACACGGCTAGTGATGCTTTTATAGCTAAAACCGGCTCTGATTTTAACAGAAAAAAATATATAATTGTAAGAACTCAAAACAACAGCAGCACTCACAAGAAGGTTAAAATCTGGACCGGTCAATTTAATGACTCTCCCCCTCCTGGACTCAGAATGGACTTTTCTGCACTTTACGCGCCGAAAACGTTTTTTTTTGTTTGCGATTTTGTTTTGTGATGGGTATTCCTAATTTACATCTGAAGACCTCTTTCTGTGAAGAGGTTGTTGCAGCGATTACACAGGGAAAATTAAGGTAAAAAAATCTCTGGCTATTTGAAGTGATGTTTTAAATGGTTTATATTAGGTAATTCGTGGACCGTATTTGAATTTTATATAAAACAAAGATAAATGTTTTCATATCTTACTCAGTATCTTTCGTCAACGGTAACGATGTCTTACAGACAGGAGTGCACATTTGACTGAATTTATGTCTAATGTAATTAAAGCTTTCACATAAATGTTACCTTAAGCTCAAGCATTTCCAAAGCCAACCAGTATTGTTGGGTTACATAGAATATCATCCCCAATATTTTTTAATTAGAAACTAGTATAAACTAATATGTTTGGCGTCTGATTAAATATGTTGGCAATTTCCTCTTTCAGATTCAAAAACTGGTTTGAGACAAGAATTCGACGTCAGTGGTTAAGGCCGAGGTCAGCTACCCATGATTAAATCTAGTTGAAGTAAAGTTTAGGAATGCAGCTGGGTAAGTGCAATGGGACTCTTGCTTATACGCAGTGTGACAGAAGCTCAGCAGGGCTGGGCCGGGTCAGTACTGGGATAGGGACCTCTGAGGAAAACCAGGTCACAGCTGTAAGTGGTGCTGGTGGACCAGTAGGAGGTATTCCTCCCTCTGGACCAGAGTTTCCAAACCAGTGGCCCAGTATGGCCCAGTCATTTAAGGTACCATGGCACTGTTTATTAGAGTAGGAGTGTGTATTCCGCTCAGTTCCTTTCTGGGTTTGTACAGTCTGGCCTCCCTTAATTCAAGTGTGCAGTGCGGCTGCTGGTGCAGAACGGCTGCTGTGTGTCTCCCAGGGGGGGCTGCCGGTGCAGAATGGTCACTGTGTCTCCCAGGTGGGGCTGCCGGTTCAGAATGGCCTCTGTGTCTCCCAGGTGGGGCTGCTGGTTCAGAATGGCCTCTGTGTATCTCCCAGGTGGGGCTGCCGGTTCAGAATGGTCACTGTCTCCCCCAGGTGGGGCTGCTGGTTCAGGATGGCCTCTGTGTGTCTCCCAGGTGGGGCTGCCAGTTCAGAATGGTCACTGTCTCCCCCAGGTGGGGCTGCTGGTTCAGGATGGCCTCTGTGTATCTCCCAGGTGGGGCTGCCAGTTCAGAATGGTCACTGTGTCTCCCAGGTGGGGCTGCCAGTTCAGGATGGCTTCTGTGTCTCCCAGGTGGGGCTGCCAGTTCAGAATGGTCACTGTGTCTCCCAGGTGGGGCTGCTGGTTCAGGATGGCCTCTGTGTGTCTCCCAGGTAGGGCTGCCAGTTCAGAATGGTCACTGTGTCTCCCAGGTGGGGCTGCTGGTTCAGAATGGTCACTGTGTCTCCCAGGTGGGGCTGCTGGTTCAGGATGGCCTCTGTGTGTCTCCCAGGTAGGGCTGCTGGATGAAATGTGTTCTTCATGAATGTGAAGTACTGTGGGAGCCTTTGGGATGAAAGGTACTACATAAA